TTTGAATTTGAAGTCTAACTTTGAATATGGACAGTGTGTAAAAGTTAAAAAAAAAAATGTCGGACTCGGACAAGGAAGGAGGGCGCAAGCTGAACTTGGACTCCTTTCTCACTGTATACTGTGCATGATGAAGGGTCCCCAGAGCCAGAAGCCATCCCATTGACCTTTTTAGGACATACAAGTTACAAAACAAAGACACGTTCTACCATGGACAAATAAAAAAGAATAAAACTGTATCTAACACCCTAACATTATAGATGTATCTAATATTCTAATTTTATTTTCTAAATAAATCTAGTACCATGATTTTATTTATAGTGCATCTAATACACTGATGTTATTTTTTTAAATAAAGTATCTAACACCTTAAACTATAAATAAAATTAGGGTGTTGGATGCAAATTAAAATATAAAAAAGAATATAACAATATTTGACACTGTAACATTATTTTATAGGTGCATCTAATACCCTGATTGTATTTTCTAAATGCATCTAGCATCATGATTTTATTTATGGTGCATCTAATACATTGATTTTATTTTTTTAAATAAAGCATCTAACACTCTAAATTATAAATAAGATTAGGGTTATGGATGTAAACTAAAATAATAATATAAGGGTGTTGAATGCACTAAAAATAATATTAGAGTACCTGATGCACCATAAATAAGATTAGAGTATTGAATACAACTGAAAAATAAGATCAAGGTGGTTGAAAAATAAGATTTTAGTTTGCATCTCAAGAGCATTTGAATTTAGAATCCCTTCAAGGGCCCAAACCTGCGGGCGGCAAGCAGCACCATATCTTATCATAAAAATAAATTAGATGGACGTTTGGGCCAAATTAACTTATTTGGTTCCAGTTTATTAAATTCGATAAAGAGCTGGTAGTTTTTTTTCCTAAACAAATATTAAAATAAAATGATTTCTGATGAGAAGATAAGTTAGAGTGCAATAGGACAGAAGGTATAATTACATAATCTAGAGAAATATTCATCATCAGGCACCACACATAAATACATAAACTTTCTTTGAGCCCATCAGTGATTATTTTAACAGAATTTAAAAATAAATATTTTTTTCTAGGCACAATTGTCCGCATGTTATAGTGGCTGAGCTGGGATATGTTAAGCTTTTTAGATTTAAATAGATCTTGGAGTTGTCTTTCTACCACAATGACTTAAACCAATTTGATAGGAATTTTTTTAATACTCCTCTGGTCTCAAATATAAGACCTACTTTGTAATATAAATAATATAAGACCTATTTTGTAGTGTAAATATGGGACTTTTTCTATTATAGTATCATCTCTCTATTACCTTTTTTTCCCTCCCTGCACTTTTTTTTTTTTTTGTCTAGGCTTGTACTTCTTTTGAGTTTCAAGAGCCTTAGGTATATGTTGTAACTGTGTTTCTAGCATAATGACTTCAATTTGATAAGACTTCCTTTAACATAATATACATAATAAAACCTAACTGACTAATTTAAAGAGATTAAAGAAGTTAGTTAAGTTAGTCATTTGTAGTAAATAGATGTTGTCTTCTCTAAAATGATCTTATTAATCATGTGTATTTGAATTACAAATCGATAGTAACTCCTTAACATATATGCAACTACTATAAGGATTATTTGAGGGCAAAATGAAAAAATATTAGAGATAAAGTAAACTAAAGTCTTATATTTAGGATCAAATTAAAAGTCAAACTAGCTCTTATATTAAGCACCGGAGGTAGTATAACAGCTATTTTAACTAATTTGAGTAGATTAAGAAAATTAATTAAGTTAGTTATTTATAACAAACATGTGTTGTCTCCACTAAAATGCCTTTGCTAATCATGTACATTAGTTAGAACTATGATTTGATAAAACACTTAATATGTGTAGCTACTACAAGGACTATATAGACAAATATGAGAGACAAAATAAATTAAAATTTTATATTTAAAACTAAATTAAATTTTAAATTAGTTATATACTACTACCTCCGATCCTTAATATAAGATCACGTTTGACTTTCATGTTGATCCTAAATATAAGACCCCAATCCATTTTATCTCTCATATTTACTCAATTTTTTCCAAGATAGTCCTTCTCATAATTATAGTTTTAGCTAACATACTTGATTAGTAATGATATTTTAGGAAAGACAACACTTATTTATTATAAATAACTAACTTAACTTCTTTCTTTAATTTCCTCAAATTAGTCAATTGGTTTTTATAATTAGAACCGAAGGTAGTATCAAAAGACTAGAAGTAATATCCTAATAGCACGCTATCTATGGCAACCGTAAACCAAAACAAGCACATTAAAAAAATCTCTTCGCTCGCATCTCTTCTCCTCAAATCAAATTACCTTCTGCCGTCCATTTCTTCTACTAAACATTCCCCCCTCCCCCATCTCTTCCCTTCTATTGAACATGACAACACCCAAATGGAGTTCTATATCCTGTTGGATTAGGGTTACAATAAAGCTTATTAGATAACAACACCACATGATGACTTTCTGTCGGCTTAACCATGATGTCCCCTTTTGTAGATGCTTCAAGAAGTATAGACTTTTATCAATCAACTCAATCCCGCTTGGCAAAAGTTAAGAGATTTTATAATTCAATTTAATAATATATATAATTTAATTATTGATTTTTAACAAAAATTTTATTCAACAATGTATAATAACTTAGTCTAATAAAAAGAGTTAGTTCATTACAATATGACGAATCAATATTTGATTTTTCTGTTAGGAAATTTGTCCACATTTAATACTCGATGATATTTTTTTATTAGAAAGGTAATTCATTAATCAAGAATATGTATAAGCACTACAAGTACAGAGGAACGGATTACAGAACAAAGTAAAAGGAGCTAACTACAATCAAGCAGCTAGAAACAACAAAGCTGATGCAAATGGTTACGAAAAAGTCTTTGCCTTGGTGACATGGTGGGAAAAAGAAATAGTCGCATTGGCTAGCTGATAGCTTTGGGTTCGCTCCTTGTTGAAAATGAGTGTATCACACGCATGCCATAGCTTCCAATATAACACTCCAAATATAACACATCATGTTTGACGGTACTTTAAACAGGTCTTCAATAAGAAAAATAGTTGTGCCTAATAAAAAAAATTGCATTCCTGTATTGGAGAATTTAACAATAATCCCTTGATTATCTTAAATTTTGTAAAATACTACAAGCACCAAAGGGGTCATATGCTGACTGCAAATTGTGTGTCAAGTTGTAGGAGCATCAGTTTTATCCTGAACCATGCAGCAGAGGATTCTTTTGTACGTTCCAGGAAAGAAAAGAAGGGAAAATCAAAAAGAAAATTCCTTTTATTTTTCTACACAGTGACAACTTTATTCCATGTGCCAATCACTGTCTTTCTTTACTGCGTGGGAAACTGTTACTGGTTGCCATCCATTTCTAATCACAATACCGCTAGCTTCTTTCCAAAAGAATCCAATGGTCTGTGAAAGTCCCTTCCAAATAGCTACTTTCCTCCTTACTTGTCCCCATTTCTTATTCCCCCTCATCAAGGAAGTACTTAAAATGGCTCAAAAAAAAAAAAAGACTTGCACTATTACATCACTAAATTAATTTCTTCTACCCTGGAAAATAAAAAACTAACATTATTACGCTACTAATTTTTGTTTAAAAAAATTAATGTCTTGGCATATATAAACCCATTAATTTGGGTATTTTTATATTTAGCACCTTACAGTATTTTTTAATAACATCTAATATTATAAAATAAATTCTCGTGCAAATTTAATTCTAAAGTGAAAAATACTTTAAAGTATTAAGTATACTAAAAATTACTTTAAAATATGAGGTAGTATTAAAAGAAAATACTTTAAATATTTGATGAACTAAAAATTAATTTAAAAATATTAAATGATACTTTGAAAGAGTGATCAACGTAGCCCTTTGATTCTCATCTCAAATTGTGTTGGGCCACAGAAACACCAAAGAATCAATCAGGTGCAAGTCACTGTCACTTGAGGAGTTGAGCCAACCTTTCTACTTCGTTCAAAGTAAAACAGGGGACCTATTTATGCACAGGCAAAGCACCCTAATTTCCTCGTCAAAACCTAAGATGGGGTCAACAATTCTTGTGCTGTTTCTTTTCGTTTCATTTGCTCGAGCCATTTCAACTTCAGATTTCCAGACATTTTCCGCTTCGGAAAGCAGAGCTTTAAACCACACCTATGTGCAGACGCAGGAATTTCTGGGTAACATTTGTTCTGCCTCTTCAACCACTTGCAATCCTATATTGTTTGTTTCCTGAATCTGTTGTTTGTTTCACTGTTTCAATGATAGAGGGATTATCGTATGGAAGCATGAAGGAGAAGAACAGGCTGGGCGAAAAAGTTGAGGGAAAGAAAATTGAGATATCTGATACTCTACGAAAAGCACATGGAAAGGGAGGAAGGGGATCACCTTCTGGTTCTGGTGGTGAAAATATTAATCGTCGTCCTCCCACTCGCAACTCTGCAACTTCATCATTACGAGCAACGTTTTTTTGGGGCTCAAGTTTAACTCTTTCTGTTGCAAGCTTTGCTTTGATATTCTTTTTCCTCTTCACTAATCCTTTGGGGTGTGTTCTAAAGGAAGAAATCTTGTAGTCATATGGTGATTTTTTTTTTTTTTGGGTTTATTGCTCCTATTGTTTGCGTCTTTCTTTTCATGATCCTAAACGGGCATCTTTGTTTGTCACCTAGCAATTTGATTCCCCTTTTTAAAATTACCAGAATTTTCTTATGGAAGTTGTAATCTTTCGGTATGGTAGGTGCTTGGACTTCTTATCTCTGCCTATCATGTACTCTTGAAGAAGCACAACACAGAGTTCCCAGCAACCTCGCTGTTGAATCATTCTAATTATAAAGTACAACAGTTTTCCTGTGATTTAATACACATGTTCCTGGAAAGAGCCAAAGAGAAAAACTAGTCAATAAACGAGTTGAGGTAGCTATAGAAAAATTGAAATCCGGAGGTGAACATTCATTAACAACACAGCAGCCAAAAACAGTCGACACATTGTATACTATGAGGAACTTGTGAATTGAAGCATCTCAGAAATTATAAATACTGAGCAGTCATGTCAGAACGAAATAAACTTAAGAGAGGTTACAGATTATTACACTTTACTGAATCGTTCACGGGTCTAAATTATGTATAAGGTTCATGAAGTGTCCAAAAAAAAGGAAGAAAAAGAATTATATGTCATATAACAATTCCTGAAACACTTTCATGTGGTCAGGCTGGAGAGCAATGGCAACAGACAAGCTACCATCATTTGATGAACTTGGTATTATAAAAGACAGTCCCTCGTACGCAATCCCACCTGGTCCCATGAAAATAGGCCTCCCCCACCCAAAATCAGCATCATGTATTGGCAGCCTAACCCAACTAGTGATCCCAAGATTTGGACACTTGAAAGTATGAGCCCCACGAACAAGAGCTTTAAGATCAGGTTGAAGCTCTAGGTAGTCCAAAGCCGACCTCAGATACTCATTGTCCATTCTCACCAAAGCATTATGAATTTTGCTCGCAGCATACCAAGTTGGCTTTGACATGAGATCACCAGCAATAGCCATTGGTGTGGCTGTGAATATCACATTTCCAAAGTAACCTTCTGGCAGCCCTGGCTTCAATCTAGACCTTCCATCAGTAGCAATGTACAGTTTGGTTTCTTGATCATGGGGTAAGCCACGTGCCTTGCACACGTTTTTCCACACATGGCCAGCCAACATCTCATAGGAGCTATAATTGATTGTGTTGCCATTTTCTTTGGACTTGGATTTCAGAAGGTTCAGGGGGTCACGAGTCATTTTGAAAATAGACACTGCAGCTGGCGGTGCTGGGTCTGCCCCTGGTTTTGTGGGTGATGGTGGCAAGGAGGAGGGAGTGATCATGGCCGGAGGGGGTTTGTATTCGATGTGATCGAAAACCGGCCGAGGAGGGTCCTGAGCTCGAAGAAGGGTCCGGTCGATGAAGGGCCGAAGGGTAAGATCATGGCCACGAGCTATGTCTGACCATGTATTGATGAAGCGCAGACCTGAACATCCATCTGCTACATGATGCTGCATACCTACTCCAAGTGACGCCCCTCCACATTTGAAATGTGTTATCTAAAAAAAAATAAACCTGTGAGCAAGATTTTAGTTTGCATTATAAAGATGGATTTAGAATATTGATCCTATCTTGCTACGTGACTGGAATTAAATTTGAATTTGAAGTCTAACTTTGAATATGGACACTTTGTAAAAGTTCAAAAAAAAGAAAAAGATGTAGGACAAGGAAGAAAGGCGCAAGCTGAACTTTGACTCCTTTCTCACTGTATACTAAAGCTGGGAAAACAAGCTAGCCCGGCCCTACAGGGCTGGCGGACTTACAAGGACCGGTCTTACAAAGCGAAAATTTTAAAAATACCCCAATTTGCTAGGTCCGGTCCTTAAGAAGACGAGCTCAAGGCTGGCCCACAAGCTTTCGATCTGTTTAAAAAAAATTTATTTTTTATATTTCTTACATGTTTTATCACAAAAAATGAAAACAAAATAATAAAATTACTAGTAAAAGACATAAATATGAATAAAACTAAGTCACAAATACAAAATATCATCATATATAAATATTCATCAATATACAAAAAATATAAAACATCCATTAGACATAACAAGTAAGTAACATTAACATCCAAAAGTTTCATTAAAAATAGACAAATGCTTTCACTAAAAAAAAAAAAAAAAGTAGACAAATACTATCATCACTATCATCAATTATAAGAATATTTGATTGCATTTCACTAATAGGCTTTTCTTAACTGCTAAAAATATCAATGATTTTTTCTTGATACTATTTAGCTATTTTGGATTTTAATATGTCTTCTTCTGTCTTTTTGAATTGAATTTTTTTGCTTACCAGTAAGTTTATTTAAAAGTATCAATGTTAAGTTTGTTTTAAAGGTTTCAACTTCGCAACCACTGGGGACTAATTCTGTATTGCCTACTTATTATCTCCAGTCTTAATTATAAAACCTCATTTATAGACTACAAACAAAATCTTATAATTAGAACTGGAGATAGTATTTTTTTCCTCAAGTTTTAATTGTGAAATCACTTTGATGCACAGTCTCGTGGGAAGTCTGAAATATCTTAGCACTTTGGATTGATCCTTAGTGTGCTTTTAATGAGCTAACTATGTCATCTTCTTTTTGCTTTTGTTCAAGATGGTATTCTTTGGTTTTGTCTAGCTCACTTGTCTAGCTCCATTTAAATATAGAGTAAAAATTTTGATATACTACCTCCGGTCCTTAATATAAGACCCTATTTGACTTTTATTTTGGTCCTAAATATAAGACCCCAATCCACTTGTCTCTCATATTTATGCATATTTTTTCCAAGATAATCCTTCTAATAATTAGTCCTAGCTAATATAGTTGATTGTAAGGATATTTTAGAAAAGACAATACCTATTTATTACAAAAACTAATTTAACTTCTTTCCTTAATCTCCTCAAATTAGTCAACGGGGTCTTATAATTAGGACCGGAAGTAGTAATTACCATAAAAAAAGTGTTAACTTATTATTAAAATTTATAACATATACAAATTGATATGAATCTATTGGTTCAATCATTAAAATTTTTGTTTTAATACGAGTATATATTTTTGTTTATTTTAATATATAACTGTTAGTTTAAATAAATACAAATTTGAAATTTGATTTAGTATATGTAGAATATATTTTTATTTATTTTAATATTATTAGAGACTAAAGCGTAGCTGACAGTGAGTGAAAGATTGAAAATAAAACTTAGAAAGGAAGAGTGTGTAAAATGTTAGGGACTTAGGTTAGGATCAAGGGAAAAAAATATAAATTAAAAAAAAATTACTGATAGTAAGTTTAAACGGGTTGGCCTTTTTAAGTCCAAGTTTTTTTTTGAAAACCTTAAATTATAAACTCGGCTCGCCCTCAACTTAAAATGGTTTTAAACGGGCCGACTCAATGGGCTTGACCTGTTTTCCCAACTCTATATACTGTGCATGATGAAGGGTCCCCAAAAGCTAGCCCATTGACCTTTTTGGGACATACAAATTACAAAACGACGACACATTCTACTATAGACAAATAAAAAGAATAAATATGTATCTAACGCCCTAACATTATAGATGTGTCTACTGTTCTAATTTTATTTTTCTAGATAAATCTAGTATCATGATTTTATTTATTGTGCATCTAACACACTGATGTTATTTTTTTTTAAATAAATATCTAACATCCTAAACTATAAATAAAATTAGGGTGTTGGATGTAAATTAAAATATAAAAAAGAATAAAACATATCTAATATTATTTTATAGGTGCATCTAATACCCTAATTGTATTTTCTAAATGCATCTAGCATCATGATTTATTTATGGTACATCTAACACACTGATGTTATTTTTTTAAATAAAACATCTAACACTCTAAATTATAAATAAGATTAGGGTTATGGATGTAAATTAAAATAATAATATAAGGGTGTTGAATGCACTAAAAATAATATTAGAGTACTTGATGCACCATAAATAAGATTAAAGTATTAAATATAATTGGAAAGGTTGATGTCATATAAAATATGCATGAATTGTTGCTAACAATATTTGTTTTTTCAAAAATAGTGTATGACAGGGTGGCCTCCACATTATTCTGAATAAATGTTTTTTATTGCCTTGTGAAATTTAGTGGGGGCATACAAATCGGAGCCATTCAAACCGTTTAATTTAGAAACTTTATTCCAACAGTCAAAATATATCTCCTATAGATGCATGCATGAAAATAATCTTGCCAATTCGTTGTTATTGAGATATCATGTTTGTAGAAGATATCTTTTATGGAGGGGAGATGATTTTGAGTAAAAATGGTAAAAGAGTTGGGATTTTAATTAGCGATGTATAAGGAGGATTATTCTTTCTCCTTCCGTCCCCTTACCTCCAAATCTCTCAAAGCAAAGAATAACAAAATTTAAAATGTTAAAATTTTTTTTTGGTGTTGTATTTTATACTTTTAACAACTCAAGAAAGATATTATACTTCCAATCCTTAATATAAGACCCTGTTTGACTTTTATTTTGGTCCTCAATATAAGATCTAAATCCATTTTGTCTCTCATACTTACTCAATTTTTTCCAAGATAATCCTTCTAATAATTATAGTTATAGTTAATATACTTGATTAGCAAGAATATTTTAGGAAAGATATCATCTATTTAGAACAACTACTACTCAACTTACTTCTTTAATCTTCTCAAATTAGTCAACTGGCTCTTATAATTAAGACCGGAGGTAAAATTCCTAACAAATGATAGACATATTATTAAGATAATGTTTCTTTATATGCTTTTTATACATCAAAGCGAATTAGAACACTTATATTTATTTATTACTATAGACATATTAATACGTGTGCCCCAACAAGTGAAGCTTATCATGTTTGGCAGGACAAGATGGCGACGTTAGGTGTGCAATATCAATATGATATTGGAAACGAGAATCTCAGAGTTGGAACATTTAGACCAAATAAAAGTGATTTTGAACAGGTAATTAAAAATTGTGTTTTCTAAAAGCATGCTATAGCCTATAAGTTCCAAAATAAAAATATTAATTATGAAAATACTTCTTTTCATGGGGAGGGATTTTAAACATAAAAGAGTTGTTTTTTATTTTAAAAATAGATATAATTTTATTTTTTGTAAAATAAATAGTAATACCCCGAAAAATCTCTCGAAAGAATCAAGAAATTGATGACTAATAAAAAAGAAGTGATTTTTAGTTTTGAAAGAATCCGGTAGGCTAATAAAATAAAAGGCCAAAGAAAAAAGGTAAGCAGCAAGTTTTTAACTTTTTATTGATGAATCATAATTTAATTTGAACCGAACACAACTGTTAACTTTATTTTTTAATGATTAAGTGTTCCATGGTCACGTTTATTAAAAACTTCTAGAAGCACAGTTCCCCAGCATTAAAAATGACTGCTAAACTATAATTTTTCAATGGCCTATATGCTATTATTTTGGTGGTCGTGGGCATATTTCAATAATGGTTATTAATATTATAATAATTATAACTACCATAGTCTCGTTTCCTAATGCGTTTAATTTAGCGAGCCAACTTAAAATCCTCCAACCTATAAC